TTGTGTTGTGGTTGTGTTGTGGTTGTGTTGTGGTTGTGTTGTGGTTGTGTTGTGGTTGTGTTGTGGTTGTGTTGGTGGTTGTGTTGTAGTTGTGTTGTGGTTGTGTTGTGGTTGTGTTGTGGTTGTGTTGTGGTTGTGTTGTGGTTGTGTAGTGGCTGTGTTGTAGTTGTGTTATGGTTGTGTTGTGGTTGTGATGTGGTTGTGTTGTGTTGTGGTTGTGTTGTGGTTGTGTTTTGTTTTGTTTCTTTTCTGATGGAAAGGCTCTATTTGGGCACGGGCGCCTAGGATAGCGTGTTGTTCGGTGGTGATTTTAATGTTGTGGTTGTGTTGTGGTTGTAATGTGGTTGTGTTGTGGTTGTTTTGTGGTTGTGTTGTGGTTGTGTTGTGGTTGTGTTTTGTTTTGTTGTGGTTGTGTTGTGGTTGTGTTGTGGTTGTGTTGTGGTTGTGTTGTGGTTGTGTTGTGGTTGTGTTGTGGTTGTGTTGTGGTTGTGTTGTGGTTGTGTTGTGGTTGTGTTGTGGTTGTGTTGTGGTTGTGTTGTGGTTGTGTTGTGGTTGTGTTGTGGTTGTGATGTGGTTGTGTTGGGGTTGTGTTGGGGTTGTGTTGTGGTTGTGTTGTGGTTGTGTTGTGGTTGTGTTGTGGTTGTGTTGTGGTTGTGTTGTGGTTGTGTTGTGGTTGTGATGTGGTTGTGATGTGGTTGTGTTGTGTTGTGTTGTGTTTGTGTTTTGTTTTGTTTGTGTTGTGTTTTTTTTTTGTTTTGTTTCTTTTCTGATTGAAAGGCTCTATTTGGGCGCGAGCGCCTACGATAGCGTGTTGTTCGGTGGTGATTCTAATGTTGTGGTTGTGTTGTGGTTGTGTTGTGGTTGTGTTTGGTTGTGTTGTGGTTGTGATGTGGTTGTGTTGTGTTGTGTTGTGGTTGTGCTGTGGTTGTGTTTTGTTTTGTTTTGTTTGTGTTGTGTTTTTTTTGTTTTGTTTCTTTTCTGATGGAAAGGCTCTATTTTGGCGCGGGCGCCTAGGATAGCGTGTTGTTCGGTGGTGATTCTAATGTTGTGGTTGTGTTGTGGTTGTAATGTGGTTGTGTTGTTGTTGTGATGTGGTTGTGTTGTGTTGTGATTGTGTTTTGTTTTGTTTGTGTTGTGTTTTTTTTGTTTTGTTTCTTTTCTGATGGAAAGGCTCTATTTTGGCGCGGGCGCCTAGGATAGCGTGTTGTTCGGTGGTGATTCTAATGTTGTGGTTGTGTTGTGGTTGTGTTGTGGTTGTGTTATGGTTGTGTTGTGGTTGTGTTGAGGTTGTGTTGTGGTTGTGTTGTGGTTGTGTTGTGGTTGTGTTGTGGTTTTGTTGTGGTTTTGTTGTGGTTTTGTTGTGGTTGTGTTGTGGTTGTGTTGTGGTTGTGTTGTGTTTGTTTTGTGGTTGTGTTGTGGTTGTGTTGTGGTTGTGTTGTGGTTGTGTTGTGGTTGTGTTGTGGTTGTGATGTGGTTGTGTTGTGGTTGTGATGTGGTTGTGTTGTGTTGTGGTTGTGTTGTGGTTGTGTTTTGTTTTGTTTGTGTTGTGTTTTTTTTGTTTTGTTTCTTTTCTGATTGAAAGGCTCTATTTGGGCGCGGGCGCCTAGGATAGCGTGTTGTTCGGTGGTGATTCTAATGTTGTGGTTGTGTTGTAATTGTAATGTGGTTGTGTTGTGGTTGTAATGTGGTTGTGTTGTGGTTGTGTTGTGGTTGTGTTGTGGTTGTGTTGTGGTTGTGTTGTGGTTGTGTTGTGGTTGTGCTGTGGTTGTGCTGTGGTTGTGTTGTGGTTGTGTTGTGGTTGTGTTGTGGTTGTGTTGTAGTTGTGTTGTAGTTGTGTTGTGTTGTGGTTGTAATGTGGTTGTGTTGTGGTTGTGTTGTGGTTGTGTTTTGGTTCTGTTGTGGTTGTGTTGTGGTTGTGTTCTTTGTTTTTTTCTTTCCCAAGTTGGTACATTTTAAAAAGATTCGTTTGCATTTGTGTTTCTATTGTGTTTGTTTTTGCGTTTTCTTTTGTGTTTGCATGTTGCATATGTGTTTTCATTTATGTGTTTTTTTGCGTTTGCGTTTGCATTGTATGTGTGTTGTGTTTGTGTTGTTTTTGTCTGTGTGTTGTGTTTTTGTTTATTTTTTTCTGTTCCAAAATTGGTACATTTAAAAAGATTCACCGTGGCGGAGCACGGTTATGCAGCTAGTGAATGTATAAAGTACTAATTCACTTTTTCTACGAGATTATATTCCATTTAAAAAGTTTAAGTAATTAAAATCTATTAAAAATCATGTCTATATCCCGAGTTTAGTATTATACTAGACTTACCCGTCATCCCTTGGATGCCTGTGGGTTTCGGGGGTCATCCATACATGACATCACGTCTGTGAGTTATCATCACAAAATAACCAGACCTCACATTCAAAAAAGACGTTTTTTATCTTTTAAAAACACCGATTTCGGCTGAGCATGGGTCTGACCACACTATCCCTTCATATACTGACGTCACAGGTGACCTACTCAACTCTACTTCTACTGCCCAGTGTCCCGCCAAGTCTCAGACAACACGTTTTTGTCGTTAAAAAAAAACGACTCCTGGCGAGTATGTCTCTGACCACAGTATCCCTTCATATGCTGAGGACAAAGAAACAGGTGAACTCTACTTCATCTGCCCTGTGTCCCGCGAGGTCCCGATAGGTAACTTCGTCATTCACGTTTAAAAAAACAGAAATCGATTAAAAAAAATTAATTTTGTCTTGAGGTGTCCCGAACCCCTACCACCCGCATGGTAGCCAAACCAGCGTTAAATTTGTCGTATATTGTAGTGCAAAGTAAGAACCAGTTACGCGAATAGGTCCTATTATTTTACATTTAATTAGGGTTGTGTTGTGGCCTATATAAAAAATTAGCTAATTCCATAGCTAAACAAACAAATATTTATATAAAATAATTAAGGCCTGAAATAGTTTAGTATATAGATTCTAGTTCTAGGTTCTAGATGTAGAATATACGTTAAGTCTAGATCTAGATGTAGAATTTGTCTATATTCTAGTTTTTGCCTTAACTATCTAGATCTAGATCTAGAACCTAGATAGATGATCATTGAGGCGAAAAAAAGATTTATATAAAATATTTAAGGCCTGAAATTGATTCTAGATGTAGAATTTACATTAAGTCTAGATCTAGAATTTACGTTAAGTCTAGTGACCTAGATCTAGATCTAGATTCATATATTTTTCTTCCTTCGACAGCTGATCTGTAGATCTAGAGCAGGGGTCTCCAAACTTTTCAGACCGAGGGCCGGATGGTCTATCAAATATCAGTTCGGGGGCCAGAGTTTTTCAAGGCATATCTTCGGTGTTATGGAGCCCCCCCCCCCGAAAAACGTCCACCACCCAGCCCCCCCCCCCCCCCTCCCCGCCAATAAAATATAATTTATATATCAATATATACAAATTTCAAGTGCCGACCCCCCCCCCCCCCACCCCAAGAGAAAAAAATCTGAAAGAAACACTGTCGGGGCCGACAACACACTCGAGGTCCAAGTTTGTTCTCAAATTATTCTTCACGTATTCTATATCTATGGTTGAGCCCATGTGACCTTAATTCGCCATCTTCACCACAGGATTCAGTACACTGCGAATGTCCATATATTTAGCACTCAAAGCTTGCTGATGGATAATAGAGTGCAGGAGCATTGGTTGTAGAATGTTTTTCTCATTTGCGTGTCCAACCAAGCCTGTCTTTATGCAACTAATGTACTTTTCCCCATCAACAGTCAGGTAACTGAGGTTAGTCCAGTCCAAGTTATAATCAGCAAATGTTTTATTTAACTCTCCGGTAAAAGTGCCATACATATTATGTAGTGAAGCTAGCTAGTGTGTTATGTTCATGTCTTCATCCACACCCCTAAAGAACACAAACAGTTAAGAGGTGGAACAGCTTTCCAGCGACTCATGCATTGCAATTAAAATATAGTGAAACGTGCTTGCATTTCGAGTCACGATGTTCTCATTAATGTCTGCAACATGTTGGGCAATGGTATTTGCACCCAAGGCTACATTTTCAAATTGTTATAAATTTTCTGGGCAAAGTTCTTCAGCCACCTCTAACAAACATTTTTTCCCGTGGACAAAAAGATCTCCGCGGGCCGGATGAGAGGATCTTGCGGGCCGCATCCGGCCCGCGGGCCGTAGTTTGGAGACCCCTGATCTAGAGAAATCAATTGTAAAACTAAATGAAAAAGACAGTTGAAAATTGATATAAGTGTTGGAACGTAATAAATACAGCAAACTGACGTATTGTAAAAGTTATAGCCGACAGAAAATTAGCTTTATAACGCGTTAAAGATCTAAATAGGCTACGAAATATTGTATTGAAGCCGTCATTGATTGTACTAAAAAGTAAACAAAAATAATGTGACGTCACTATTCCGTCAAAGTAAGGCCATTGTTTGAAACTTTTAAAATTAATGTGGTTAATTTACCAATGAATAAATAAAAAAAAATAATTAACGTCTTTAAATAAATTTGTGATTAACAGTCTGTCTGAAAACAAAATTGTTCTCTACCTAAATACTATTTTACAGCTCTACACAGAGTGCAGATTCTCTCCAGTAGCAAATCAGACAAACAAATAAATATTCAAACATGTAAACAAAGTTGCATTTTAGTAGTATGTAGATAGATAGATAAGAATATTCGAGAATGTTTAGGGGAGATCATTCCTGTTTTTTTTAGGTGTAATCCCTAGAATAGTCTTGTTGTTTAATGGTCAATTAAGAATATAGAAAAGCTTTAAAAATCTAAGTGGAATTACTTTAAAGGAAAATTTATCAAAGAAAAGTTTACTGTAGTTGTATGTAGTTTTTAGAGTTAGTTGTTAGAAAACGTGGGGTTCGGAACTTTGTTTTCGTTTCTTTCTTTACAGAGGTATTATCTTTTTCGCCACATTTATACATTTAGATATAAAGAGTAATTGAGATGTAGTTTAATAATGAGATATGTTTAATTACACCCAGCTTTATTAAATTAAGCATCTTTATGGATATAGCTCAATGTGATTATAATTAAATTTCGTCAAATGAAGACAAAACATTTCTTTCTTATTCTCTCTGCTTCGTGATAGCCTCATCGGTCGATTGTCATTAAAATACATGTTTCTGACGGTATAGACGATATACACAACTAAAACTATAGATAAGAACTCTGATGTCAACTTTTTAAACTAAGACAAGAAACATTTCCAGTCCTCAATGACAGCGTCTTGAAGGTTAGACCTTGCAACCTGCACCTGGTCATCCACAGTCTTGGCGACGCTGAGCACCTGTGATAGAAATACGTTTATTTCGTCTTGTGATGTGTTGTTGTTATTCTTTTTTTTAATTATGGAAATGTGTAGACTTTATTTTAATTTAGTATTTGCTACTTTAATATAAAATATTTTAGTTAAAAAAGAAACGCTAAGAGAAACTGATACACATAACAGTACTTAGGATGGTTACAGACAGAGTGTCTAAACACGAGCAAAAGGACCCTTGTAGCGCCCCAACGGTCAGTCTAGATTACAGGAAGAAAGAGGAAGACACAAAGTTCAGACAGCCTAGACTACAGTCATTACCTTAGACAAGGCTGACCGGAACCAGGTATAGATTGAGTAAACTATGGCCGCGAAACATTTTAAAATCTGACAGACGAACGTCAGACCACGGCGTGCAATAAGAGCTATGGTCAATGCAATGCAGCTCACAAGTCCTGTGAGGACATTCGTCGCCTTCCCCATCAGCTCTTTGCAGATGTCAGACAGTGATTCCTCTGTCACGTCGGTGGAATCTAACTAAACAATACAAACAATACAAACATAAACGTTAGACAGGTAATGCTAGTACAGTTATAAGAGAAATTACTCTATCTACACTGTCACATTATCATTATTTATACGCCATACAGTCACACTGTGACAAACTATCACCCTAAAAAAATTCAATGCAGATAGTGTTCGACTGACCAGTTTAGCTGTTTCTTGAAAATCTTTATCCTCAGCAATTTTGCTGGCGTGCTCAGCAAGTTTTTCAGCTATTTTAGTGTTGTAGGTTTTTCCAACCCTGTATATATATATATATATATATATATATATATATATATATATATATATATATATATATATATATATATATATATATATAGGGAGAGAGAGAGAGAGAAAGAGAAAGAGAAAGAGAGTCAAGTACCACTTCCAACTACCGGAATAAGTTCAAAGGCTGATAAAAGCCTGCGCTTTCAATTACATTTTGTCTTCCGCACTTTAGTGGCCCTTACATAAATGGCTTTCAAGAAACCGGAAATACCACTGTCATACATTACTGACATAATGGAAACATTATGTTAGTTGCAGGAAATTTTTTTCAATAGTTGAACATACGATCATAGATAGAACAAAACTAATACAACACACGCTGACTTTGACACACGTAAACTAACCGTTTGCTGTGTTCTACAGATATCTTTGCAATGCCTATTTTGGCTGCTTCGTGGATTGTTTCTTGTGTAATCCATTGATGGTCTCTCTAGTATTGAATACAAAACATTATAATTACAGTACTTAAATACGCAAAGCATTACAAGCTAACACAGAACGTCTAACCAACCAGAAATTTGAAATGGTTGCTTAACTTATTGTTATTTATAAGTCAGGGAGAGGATAGGGAGGGGGAGTCTCAAAAGTTGGACCTGAAACACGGATAGTGGCGATTTTTTAATGATACACTTAACAGCTGGAGCTGAAAATCGAGATTTGAAAGAAAACATGATAATCATTTAGCATGTAGGCCTATGATATAAATAGTAGGAAGAGACACTAAAAATTAGGCATTGTTTCCTTTTAGACAACTATATCAATAACAGGATATGATTTTATTGCAAAATTAAATAAACCTGAAATTCACTATAATTTTTTCGCTATTCTGTCTGTCTAACTGGAACGCTCTAGAGAAAACACAAGCAAAATATAAACTTTCACATGCAAAAGAAAAACGAAAGTCGTAGAAAGTTTCACATAGAACATATAGGAAATTTTCAAAACGAAACGAAAAATGTACAGTTCTAAAGCCGGAAAAGCACACACAATAAAATGACGTAATTGATTCTAGAGTAAAAATAGAATAAAAAATCCAAAGCCAAAAAATACACAATAAAAAATGTCTGAAAAGAAACACTATCTGCATGATTAAGGTTAAGCGGCCAAAAGTACAAAACGGGTCTAGATAATAGTAGAGTCGACATTTAGCCTGTATAAACCGGAAATGAGACTAATGTTTTTTTCAAAGCTCATCGAAAAAGAATGAAGTCATTAATTCTAGAGTAAATAAATATAATGCCACAAAAATAATGACGTCATCGATACTCGATAATAAAGACACTAATAATACCGCCTGATTTATTAACTGTTCTACATTTAGAGTTTCTTTCAGGCATCTCTTTGGGTAGGGGAGAAGAGCCCCCTCCCCCCCTCCCACCCCATCGAAGAACTTTTAACGTCTCCCACCACCCAACACCTAACAAAATACGATTTATAAAGAAAATATATTTTTACCACTGTCAGCTCCCCGCCCACGTCCCGCAGAGAATTTAATTGAGGTTTAGTGGCCAAAAGTAGGAAACGGGTCTAGATTATAGAAGTTGGGTCTAATTTTATTCTGTATGATCTACAAATGCGACCTCTGTTTCTTTCAGACCTTTTTGGGTGTTGATGGGGGGGGGGGCGGCTTAAATTTTTTGGGGGGTGGGGTGGGGGTTATAGGGGCTGTTGACGTTCTTTATGGGCTCTTTTTGTCAAGTTTTAGCTTAGGTGTAAGATTAAGGGGTATGACTACGACTATATTTGGTATGAAAGTGCAGTAACTACGTGCAGATCAATGCTAAATCCAGTTAAAATGCCGAATCTGGATAAAAATACGTTTTCAATTATATTTTCTTTTCCAGTTAAATTTGAAGTTTAGGTGCGGATTTTGGTTTTGGTTCCGGATTAGAGAAAAAGACAACACTATCAATCTAGCGCCCGTTGTATTTCTCTCTTAACGGGTCATTTATCTAGTGTAAAATATGGCAATTATTACAGTAAGAAGAACGCAATATCAAATTAAGGGAAGTAACTCATGTATCTTAAGTAATGCAGTATTTTTCATTGTTCATTTCCTTTAACGTGTTTCCTGGACAATAAGAAACATGTAGGTATTCTTTGTCGAGAAAAGTAAAATTAAAAATAAAATCAGATTAAAATAACATTGATAGATAATTTACAGTAACTAGGAACCAAAGTGTGCTGTTAAGAAATCACTCATTACCAAAGACAGTAACAAAAATCTTTAGATACATTTATACAGACAAAATATGACAAAATCACTATCAAAACTATAAGGCTATAAGGCGTTGGTAAAATTAAAAACTATCGGTACCATTGTTGTGTTTAAACAAAAAGTAAATTATTCCCCTTTACTTAGCGGAAGACGCATACCTTTAGTCTTAATCATGTGAAGACATGCAATGTGCATTGGAGAAGAAGAAAGTAATTGTGCCGGCGCATTGAACTCCAGACCAAACAATGTAGGCCTACATCTTATATTGTCCGCTAATAATTTAATACAGGTAAAAGATTTCAACCATAGCCCAATAATAATTACAAAATTGGCTAAATGTAAAATAAAATTAAAAAACAACAGTCTAAACGTAAAATCTATAATAATAGTTTCGCTGTCTGTCTATCTATCTGACAAGAACGCTCTGTCTGACAAGAACGCTCTAGAGAAAACACAAGCAAATTAAAAACCTGCATAGTAATTCGAAAAACGAAATATGACGTCGACACATTTAGCATAGAGTAGAACATAATCTCAAACCAGAGAGTGCACACAGTAATATGACGTCATTGATTCTCGCGTAAACATTGAAAAAAAAGGAAATTTTGTCTAATCTAAATGGTTTGCGTGAAGAGTTTCTTGCATATAATTCTTCGGGTAGGGGCGAAGCCCCACCCCCCGCGTAAGAACGTCTGAGCCCCCCCCCCCCCCTCCCCAACTCAAAAGAAATTTCTTCATCGATACTCTATAATAATATTACCGCCTAATTAATGTGTCTAATCTAAAAAGTGGTTTTCTTGCAATTTCTTTAATGCAATTCTTCGGGTAGTGGCTAAGCGCGACACAAGTGTTTCTTTCAAACTTTTTCCTCCCCGGAGAGGGGTGGGGGTGATTGAAATTTTCGGGGGCGGGGGTAGGATTTTCGGGGAGGGGGCGGACACTGGAAAAAGTATATAATTATATTTCGTTGAATGGGACGGTAGACATGTTTTTTTGGGGGGTGGGGGTGGGGGAGGGGGTGGTGTGTGGGGGTGGGGGGGGGGGTGGGGTGGGGTGGTTTCCTCATCGATACTCTATAATAAAATTACCGCCTAATTAATGTGTCTAATCTAAAAAGTGGTTTTCTCGCAATTTCTTTAATGCAATTCTTCGGGTAGTGGCTAAGCGCGACACCAGTGTTTCTTTCAGACTTTTTCCTCCCCGGAGAGGGGTGGGGGGTACTTGAAATTTTCGGGGGCGGGGGTAGAATTTTCGGGGAGGGGGCGGACACTGGAAAAAGTATATAATTATATTTCGTTGAATGGGACGGTAGACAGGTTTTTTTTTTTGGGGGGGGGGGGTTGTGTGTGTGGGGGTGGGGGGGGGGGGGGGGTGGTGTGTGTGGGGGTGGGGGGGTGGGGTGGTGTGTGTGTGTGGGGGGGGGGGTGGGGGTGGAAGGTGGTGTGTGTGTGTGGGGGGGGGGGGGGTTGGGGGTGGTGTGTGTGTGTGGGGGGGGGGGGGTGGGGTGGTTTTAGTTTAGAGAAAAGAGACAGCACTATCAGCCTAGCGCCCGTTGTATACTTCCTCAACGGGCCATTTTTCTCGTTTGCTATAATATAGTTATTTAAATAGTAGTGTATTATTATAAATTTCAACAAAATAATTATTTTCTCCTTTTTAGTGCA